AACTCACAGATGATTATGCAGGCCTTGCAGATAGCGATGCAAAGGAGAAGGCAAAATGTGTGCTAAAAACCTGTCCAACTGCCCCTATCTTCTCAGAGGAGTTTTTCATGCTCTAGGACACAGAAGAGACATAGCTTTTTGAACACTGGCCTTTCTGCACTGCAGAAAGCAACTACCCCAGGTGGCTCAGTGATTTGTTGGGGTTTTTTTCCATTCTCAAAAAGTGGCCTCTACAGGCAAAGACATAGCCTGGGAAATTTTTACATATGCTTTGTTCTCTAAATTAAGGTTGGCTGTAGAACACTCTCTACCTGAAATCCTTGTTAGATTTTAAAAATAGTGTTATTTTAAGCCTAGCTTATAATGTATGACAAACAGGGAAATCATTTTTACCACCACCGTGCTACAGTGATACAACCCAGCCAACACTCCTGCAGGCGGTAAGAAGAGGGTATAAACTTCTGCTCCCCACAGTTCTTCTTAGTGAAACACAAAGTGCATCCAACCATGGGAAACAAAAGAAAAGCTGAGACATGACTGGAAGCTGGCATTGGATCCCTGGGTCAACTCTGTTTTGCAAGTGTCCTGAAGAGCAGCTGCAGAGGTTGGAAATGTAATAGGGACACGTGTGTGCACACAGCGAGCCCTGTGAATCACATCCATCTCCTAGGCTTTCTTGGGCTGTGAATGATTCATACATAAATGAGAAGGAGCAACTTAGGAGGAAGTGGCATATGAAGCTGTCAAAATAAACCACCTTGGGATTTTTTTTTTCCCCAGTTGAATTACTTCTCATATTAAACCTCCTTTCATAAATTAAAAAGAAAAAGTGCTTCAAATGAAAATATTTTCATTCCACTAGAGAATCAAAACTTTCTTGTTTTACTCAGTGCAATTTGTTTAAACAGTTTAGGACATATAGGACATACACTCATCAACAAAAATGCTTATTCTTTGGTTCTGCCTGTTCAAACTGGGCAAATAAGCAGGAGTGAGTTAGTAGGCTGCACCAACTAAGACCATCTTAAAGCAATCTGAACAGACCCTCCATGGGATCTAGCACAAGACCACCAATAACACTTGTCGTGTGTTTGCATTTTTAAACTTTATTCATATTCCCCTTTATGGAAAGTGTCTTTTCTGACCCTGTTGAAAGTGCTGAGGATGAGCTGTAAAATTTATAAAGCCATAACAACCTTTGTGTTCCAAGAGCAAGCCAAACTGAAAAGACTTATTTTATTAATAAGTTTTGTGTCCTAATGAGAACTGAGAAATTTTTGAATAAAGAGTCTATTCAGTGAAAAAAAAACTATCAACTAGATGTCATAATCTGAGGCTAAAATAAACCAGGGAAAATACTTGGGTAAATTGAAGTATTTCATGTTAATATTTTACAAAACATCTTTGTTCTGAAACACAGCTTCTTTTTAACAGACCTCTTACCTCATCAGCCTAGGGAACCCAACCTGAAAATAAAGAGGTTTCAGTTGCAAACAAATAACGTTTGGCTTGGTGCAAAGTGACATACTGGGGATTTTCATTTTGCCAAGGCACAATGACAAATTATCTTTACAAATTGGCTCACAATGACTTTGCCAACACTTTTGTCAGTTAAGATGTCAAACCAAATCTTACTTTTTTGTGCAACGTTTTTGTGCAGCCCAATGTTGCAAGTCTAAAGATCAGAGCATAAATATTGTAATTTAATACTCTTTAGGTTTTGAATGAATATGCACTTCTGCTGGGCTTTTATGTTTTGTTCCATGGTAGTTTCACTAGTCACAATCAGAAATACAACGTTATGTGCTCTGCATATTACCCAGGGAATTGCCTCCGTTTGAACCTGAAATCCCTGAAGTGAAAAAACAAGCACAGTTTTAGGCCATATACTCATGCCACCTCCAGCTCCCAAGAAATGTTATTTACATGCAAATAGTTTGTGTATACAATACCAGACAATAAAGGCTTGTTCACAAAAATGAAAATTCTGTCTCGCTCCACATCCTTGGGCACTCCAGTAATATGCTCCAGGTTCACAATGTATTCCTTGTTCAAGGGAAACAAAACTGTTGTTATCTCTGCAAAGAGCGTAAGCGCATACCAAATATTTGCTGTGAGCATTGTGGATAAAGGAATGTCTTAGAGACGGATTGCAGGGATACAGAGTGAGATGTGGCTCCTCCCTCCCTCCCGTAAAGGCTGTCTCTGATGTGAATTGCAAATGTTATTCATGAAGACAAGAGCTTTTTGTCCACCGGCGCTGTGGGAGTGACAGCCTCAGAGCTCCAGTCCTGGTGGACAGTCTGGTTTAGAGCTTAGCCCTCCAGGGAGATGTCGTAATAAAGAGCTGCATTTAACTATGACTTTAAAGATGCCAATGTTGCCAAGGGTTTTCTGTGACCTAATGAAAAACGCACACGGGGGAAACATGCCATGTATGTAGAATGCAACCCTTCGTGTTGTTGTGAAATAACATTGCCTATAGCAAAAATTTATTCTGCCAAGTTCACAGTGATGACTGTTGATATTAGTTTGCATGGGAATGCTCAAAGGGGAATGTGTTGGCTGGTAACAATATTTAACCAGTAAGCTCAAGAATGCTCAGAGAATGAGTAACTTCTTTCTCATAGACAATATACCAGGAGAGCAGGGAAGCCAAAGGATTCCCTTCCCCAGTGGTTTCGTTCTGTTATGACCTGCTGAAGATACAACAATCTTTGATGGCCCTTTTTAATCCTGTTCCAGTGCATTGGGAGCCATACCAGTTTCATTGGTGTAGGGCTCAGCTGGGTGCTCACAGGGGCAGGCTCAGGTGTCCTTCTGTGGTGGTGTCTTCACAAATGTGCTGAGGATGGTGCAGAACATGGCGAGTCAGTGCCGAGTTTTGCCTCTGGCTGGCAGAGTTCATTGTATCAGACACAGGTGCTTAAATGCAGCTAGATTGCAGCCTGTCTGAGCCATAAAGTGGTGCAGAAGTATTCACAGGGGGTGGACCTCAGCTAAGGAAACCTATTGCCTCTGGACCCTTCATCTAAACAAAAATAATAATAAAAAGCCATAGGAAAGAAGGGGAGAAAAATACAATGACTTGAGGAGATACTTAGCCAGGATGGACCAAGACTGAATAGATATAAATCACCATATGAGTGATCCCCACCTACACCTGGGATTGCAGGAACATGTGGTACAGAAACACTTAAACTGGCTTTTGCAAGAACCAGTTTAGTCTGAGCGCAGTAGTGTTGTCTCTCTTTTTTTTCCTTTAGCTGTTTTAGCCTATCTGCTTACTGTCACAGAAAACCTAAATTCAATTAACTCAGTTAATGATGTTTCTGCATCTTTTTGCAGAGAATGCATTTCTATAGAAATAGGGATGATCCCTATTATTCCCTTTGAGGATGCCTTGCTAAGTGAAAAGTCCAATGCTCAGATAAAAGGGCATCTTTCACTTACCATCATAAACCTGCCATTGGCCCATATTGGGCAAAGTGACTCAAACAACATACTTCCACCTACTGTGCAGGCAAAGTTATTTTTTTTCTTACTTATTTGACCACAGGATTCAATTTCCTAGTGTAAGAAAATGGGAGGGGAATAACTAGGTTTAAGAAATCAGGCAGAGGTGGGGCTCTGAGTCAGTTTATAACATAGTTGCTCACCTGCCTGTGAGACATTTGAACTATTGGTGTCTGGAAGCTGGGAGATATGAAATTGCATTGCCACAGATAAGACAGGACGTGTATGTGACAGCGACCACAATGGAGCAAGATGGCAGTTTGTTTCAGGTAAGAAGGGTGCAGAGCGAAGCAAGGCGTCTGGGATCTCAGCCGGTCGTGCTGTACAAAGTGCAAAGGGGGTACTACTTTCTTGAACTGCCATTGACTATAAATGACTGCTCAGGACGAAGAAAATCAGTGCTTCAAGAATTCATTAAGGAAATGTAAAAAATTATAGCAAACCACAGGAAGGAAATGTAAACTATTTGGGGACTAGGAGTTTATTTGCAAAGGAAGCATTTTGTTTATTTGGGGGTTTTCTTCATTTTAGAACCATGATATATACAAACTTAGAATAAATATTAAATAGCATGGAGATGTGCTTCAAGGTGAAAGATTAATAAGCGGGTGCATTTATTTGAGACAGGTTTGCTGTCCCTTTAACAGCTGGGCCTGAAGCTGCCTTCCCTCCCTGTGTGTCATGCAAAGGGAGGACCTTACCTGGCTGCTAGTCTCTGTTCAGACTTACTGGGGCAAGCATGGCGCAGGCAGCGGTAGTGACAGCGGCACCGGGCACAGCAGGAAACCCCTGCATCTGCTGAGGCTCCACAGCCGGCACCACGGGATCTCCTTCATTGCTGTTCTGCAGTTCTCATTTCCCCATGAGGATTGCTTTTAAGAGACAGGATGGTTTTTCCTGGGATAACATTGGTGCTTCTTGTTGCAGGAGCTGATCACTCAAACCTGTCGGCTGGAAGAAGGAATTATGTATCTGAATCCTAATGGCAAACAGCGGACTCCTGTTACAAAGGTACTGCAAAGGGGAATTTCAAAAGAAAATTTTAAAAGAAACCTTCCTGCTGGGTGGAGCCTGGGTGAGAAGAGATAAGGTTTAGCATCTGCAAAACAGTCTAATTAGCTACCATAACCCATCCAATTCCTGCCATGAAACACCATCCCGCTTATCATTTTGATCACTTCACTTACACAGTCTTGCTTCATGTTAAAGTCCTAGTGCTGTTTTTTTTATCCTTGGCTCATGGGGTATGAGCCCTGTTTTAACAAGACTAATATCTTTAAAAGGATGGGTTGAAATAGGCTTTCTGCTACATATGTATTGCTAAAGCACAAGGGTAATTTTACTGCTGTAAGTGTAGGTAGTAAAAGCTGTGAAATTTTGCCACTTACTCCCTTAAAGAGTTTGGCACAATCTTGAAGTGGATTTTCAACACTCGATTTTCTGGATTAATCCTTCTTCTGGCCCCTACAAAAATAATAGTTTTACAGGAGACTTCAGACATGTTATATGAAATCTTTCCTGTAGGAAATGAGAGGACCAGTTGTGCTGAAAAACACTTTTCGACCTTGTTCTCTCTAGTTCAAGGCCATTTAGTAATAATTAGGAACTCTCCTTTGTTCAGCTAAGCTGCTGAGCAACAAGTGTTGTGCTTACAGTTTAAGGAACAGCCAACCCTTTCTGTTGATTACTTGAACAGAAAACCCAAAGATGAGAAAGTACACCTTAAACCACAGCTCCTTACACTGCAGGGAACATGGCAGGTTCAGAACAACAAACCAGACCTCTCAAATTTTTAGGCAAAACTCACACTGCTGACCAGTTGGCTGTTTGTTATTTATACCTCTGTGATGTCTAAGCCAAGGCTCCCTGGTTGTGACAGGCCACATCCACCTGCCTGAGTACTTTGTTCAGTCTGCATTCCCTCCCTGGAACTTTGGGATCACCTTGAGGGTGACTCCAGGGGACCCAATCTCTGAAACTGGGTTTAGCCCTTCCAGGAAAGTGCCTTCTCCAAAGCCAGCACCAGTTACTGGCTCTGCCGTTACTGAACACTTTCCACCTGCGCCTGCCTCATTTCTGCACCGTAGGAGTTAGGTTTTAGACACAAAGTGCCTTGATGGTCTTATCCACAGCTACTCTTTGGACTTTTATGGACTTACGTGGAAAGGCTGAGGGAGCTGGGTCTGTTTAGTTTGCAGAAGAGGAGACTGAGGGGAGACCTCATTAATGTTTATAAATATTTAAAGGGTGAGTGTCACGAAGATGGAGCCAGGCTCTTCTCGGTGACAAACAATGATAGGACAAGGGGTAATGGGCACAAGCTGGAACACAGGAGGTTCCACTTAAATCTGAGAAGAAACTTCTTCTCAGTGAGGGTGACAGAGCACTGGCCCAGGCTGCCCAGAGAGGTTGTGGAGTCTCCTTCTCTGCAGACATTCAAAACCCGCCTGGACGCCTTCCTGTGTAACCTCATCTGGGTGTTCCTGCTCCGGCAGGGGGATTGGACTGGATGAGCTTTTGAGGCCCCTTCCAATCCTTAACGTTCTGTGATTCTGTGATTTTAGCAGTGATTTGACAGCCTTGATTTGCATATCTGGTCCCCTGCTGTGCAGCTAAACATCATGAATGGTGCTGGTGCCTTTTCCTAGGATGGGGTGTTTTGGTTACCTAGAGACTAATTTTACCTGTTTCTTCATTAGCCTACTTGCTAACTGCCCCCAGTCTACCCAACTTATATTAATTAGCCCCAGTTTTATGCACTTGGGTTAAACATTAGCTGGAACAGGCTGCCCAGGGAGGTCGTGGAGTCACCATCCCTGGATGGATTTAAAGAGCGGGTAGACGAGGTACTTAAGGATATGGTTTAGGGGGTAGACAGGAACGGTTGGACGTGATGATCTCAGAGGGCTTTTCCAACCGAGTGATTCTGTGATTAGGAGAGACATCATGTGGATATATATTCCATCGAGCCTATGAATACTGATTCATTTCACTTTTTACAGATGGCATCATGGAACATTATTAACACAATATTAAACCATACTGTTTTGCTCAGGCAGGCCAACTAGAGCAGAAGTCCTGCTCTCCTTTCCCACACTACCTGTGTCATGCATCCTTCCCACTGGGACTAATGAGGACAGTGTCACGCTGATGCTACATCAGGACTGGCAATGGACCTTCTACACTAATTTTGCAGTATATGTAGAGTGAGCAGGCAGCGTTACTACCTGTCTGTGGCCCTCTAGTTGCACAAAATGCCTTATGGATCAAAATGTTCCAGCTGATTTATGTTCCAACATATTGTGTCTTTTCCCCCTTTCCGGGACTGTAGAAGCTGGGTGGAAATAGAGATTAATGGTATTTATTTGTTCATTTTTATGGTAAAAGAAGAAGGGTTATAGACTCATGTTTGGGCTCCAGCATGAGACCAGAACTGCAATATGAGAGGCTAAGAAGTCAGGCATGAGATCTTAATGTCACAGATGTGGGGTAACATGAAAGAGGGAAGCCAGGGGGAACAACTAAATGTTCCTTATCAAGCGTAAAACACTGGGATTGCACTTCTTATGCAAAACAGTGCAAGAAACTTGACACAAAGAGTTTACATAATTCAAAACTAGTTACAAATTTCTCACAAGAAAAAGTCAGAGGTGAGCTCAGCTCGAGAGAGGCAGTTATGTCCTGGTAAATGAGAAATGCATGCATAGTGAGTAGCATAGTGGAAGTGCAAAGCAGCGATCCCTTCCTCTGACAGTAAAAGCAGCATGGAGATCTGAGGTCAGCAATTCACTCTGGGGAGTACAGTATGTTTAAAAGAGCAGGAATATGAGAAAATCATATCCCGTAGCCTAGGATACTGAACATCTCTAATGACTGGATAGGAGACGATTCTCGCTATTATAATTCTATCACTTGCAAAAAGCCTAAAGCAGTTTCTCACTCTCTACCTTGGATATTTAACAAGTAAATCTTCTCCCAAGCTAAGTCTGATTCTTACCGCAGCTAGATTTTAGTTAGAAAGCACATAAATTCTCTATAATAATACAAATCCACATGTGTTATAAAAATAGAGAAGTTTTTTCAGTCTAGTACGTGATTTAAATATTAGTAGGAAAATAAGTGTATCAGCCATTTCATAGTCAAATAGAAAAATCTGACTAAGTTGTTCACTATTTGTGTATTTCTCTCTCTTGATTATTTCTACTTTCTCAATATGTTATCTAGCTCGAGCATTCATTCCTATCTTTTCTATGTTTTGGGTTTTTTTCCCTGCAGATAGAATCATTTCCATGTTACTTACTGACTGTAAGAGTCATAAGAGCAAGAAATATCCACCAGGCAGATGTCTGTAAGTATCTGTAGTGCTCTGTACGGTCCCCTTAACCTCGATGGAGGGGTGACCATGATCCAAGAAAAAGTGCTTTCTGTATTTCTTCTATGGGTGGAGAAAGTCCTCTCACTGTCATGCTGGTTCCAGCAATGAACATGGTGTGTTGCTCTTCTTTGCACCAGCCCTGCTCTGTGCAGAGGTAACTCTATAATGTCACAGCTACACCTACTGCACATACTTCTCCACATACCGAAAGTGAGCAGGGAAAGCTCTGCAGTCTGGCAAAGATCTCATGCGTTTTCCTCTGGAGTATGTTTATGCAACAAAGGACACAAACTGGTAGGGATAATGGAGCAAATACGGAAAGTGGAGTAGCCTTATCTCAAATTTAGTTTGTAATCAAAGCTTTCTCAATGCTAAGTAATCCAAATTACCATACACCTATTCCCTGGCGTACCAGCTTTCACAGATAAAACCTCTTTAAGTGTTGTTACATTTTGCAGGTACAGTTCTCATGGCCCGCAGCTGGAATTTAATAGATTATAACTTATGCAGAAATCAAGACACTTTTTATTTTTCCTATGTTTTGAGCTTTTTTTGAAGTGTTCTGTCTGGCTGAAATAGAAACTCTGTTTCTTTAACCCTTGCACATATAGGGTGCTGTAGTTGTCCCAGATTATTTTATCCTGGAATAAACTGATTGCTTGATGACATAGGAGGAGAAACCCTTTTGTTTTTAATGCATTTATTAGATCTCTAATCACATTTATTCAAAGAAGAATTATGTCCCTCTTCTTTTTTCTCCATTCCTATTAGTTAAATTGTAGTGCTTATGTTGGACAAATCACACATCATAGCATCTCTCCTTGAAAGCAAAGCTTCACCCTGTTCAATTCCTTCTTTCTTCTAGAGTAAATGCTCATTTTGTACATGTTTGTGTTTTTTAACATACAGTAAGCCAGACTGATTGCTATGTGAGCCTGTGGCTGCCAACTGCTTCACCAGACAGATTTCAGACTAAAGCCATTCAAAACTGCAAAGACCCAGTCTGGAATGAAACCTTCTACTTCAGGATCCAGAGTCAAGTCAAGGTACTGAGCTGGGACTTCCCTGTTAATCATTACCTAGGGAGCAACTGCCAGGTTTTACCCCTTTGTGAAGAGGACATAAGTAAATTTCTATTAGAGACAAGGAAAGATGCAGAAAAATGTGAAAGCAACACATATCCTTATGATTATTTTTCATGCCATGAAAGAAAAGTATTTCTCTCAGTCACGGGTAGAATATGACCTTTGTAATGCCTGTGATTTCCTCTCAATCCTCCTCATAGGCAGATGCCTACATTGGGTTGATTTCCCCTCCACCTCTTTGCTCTTTTTCTTTACATCCTCCCACTTCTCACAACAGCTGACTTGATCAGCTGTTCCCAGAACCTCCTGTTTTGAATGAAAACCAACACATTTCTTACTTGCTTCCCCTCCCAGAACTTGCTGGAGCTGGCGCTCTATGACAAGGACGTGGTTACTCAAGATGACCACCTTTTCACAGTGTACTTCGATATAGCCAAACTTTCCCTGGGAGAGCAAGTCTTCATGCACTTCAAGTGCAATTCACAGGTGAGGTCTGAAATAAGAAATGGAACAGGTTGGCAAGAACGTGTTTGCTTTTCTGTACAAAATACTATTTGCAAAATCTTTCTTTTTGTCCTTCCTGTGTACGGACTGCCCGGCCACATAAAAGGGAGTTGATTTTCACGCTGGTATGGGAAAGCCTTTTCACACCTGGATCTGTAGGCACACTGAAGGGTTTGGTGTTGGCCACAGAGGCTCAAGAACTTCAGGTGTCTTTGTAAAATTGTCACTTTGCTGAGCCTGCTCCCCTCAAGGACTGAGGAGTGTGTCCATGCCAGTAAATGATGCTTTTTGTTATAACTTGTTGCTTAACCTAGCATAGGAAGTAATAACTCTGTGATCAGAATCAGGTGTCAAACCAGACTAGTTGCTAATGATGGACTGTGGCATGGGTGTTTAAATAAGGTGTCTAAGCCATGCCACACAGCTTGGCAACAAGAAATATTCCTGTTTAGAACATCCAGGGAGACTCTGAAAGTCACACATCCCACCTCCCGGTACGTTCTATCCCTCCCTCTTCTTTTCCAGTTCCCTCCCGTTCTCTTGTCCATCAGTCATACACCTTTCAGTTGATTAATGACCTTACCTACACACACCCAAACTCCACTCTGCAGTTTATTCTCTTTAAATGCCTTATTTGACAATTTCTTTCTCTGCAAAATAGCAGAGGAGCAGTGTGTGGACTTCCACTAGCCCTTGGTTAAACAGGAACATTCAGCTAGTTGTAACCAGGCGTTTGACAATTTCTTTCTCCGCAAAATAGCAGAGGAGCAGTGTGTGGACCCCCACTAGCCCTTGGTGAAACAGGAACATTCAGCTAGTTGTAACCAGGCTCATTACTGTCTGGGTGGTTACAGCTGCCGTATCCAAGCCTTTCATTACTGCATTTGCACAGCTACAGTAGTCACAGCTCATGCTTTTCAGGCCTTCATAATTTTTTTTGTCCTACATTAATAACTTTTTGGTGTCTTTAATGCAATAGGTAATTTGAGCAACTAAGTAAACTACAGCGTGATCTCACTTCTCTGTTCACCATCCCTTCTGTCTCCACCTTTGTTTTTCCCTCTCCTGTGCTTTCTTCCACCTAGAATTTGTACTCTTCTCCATCACTGCACAGACTGGGCCTTAACGTCAGATTTACCTCTGCCCTAATGCCCTCAACACTGCCAAAAAAAGTGGTTGTCCTCTCCCACATCTGTTTCACATGTCACCATTTTCCCTCCTTGCACTAAAAGGCTTTGGCTGATCCCCTAGCAGACCCTCTTTTTCCTGGCAGACTCAGTATGAGACAGCATCTCTGCCTGGGTCTGTCCCTTGTGTCTCTGCAGAAACAGGCAAGCCAATTACTTTTTTTGTTAAAAACTCCAATCACAGCCATCCAGAAACTTCCTATCGATAAAGAATCTTGAGGATTATGACACACAGATGTGAGGTGGTGGGTGCCTCTATTTTAAATGTTCCACTAGTCACTAATAGTGTATGTGTACCTATATTGTGAGAGTGAGAACTTGCGTTATGAGAACTGTCAGTATGCTGGTGTCAAAAACATTTTCCTTTCTTTATTTTCCCAGAGACAAGAGGAACTAGAGGTGGGATTTGCATTGGAAAATATGTGAGTAAACACAAAATACACCATAATCTGCAGCAAAAAGAAACAGCAATTCAGAGGCATGAAATAATCTAGTCTAATTGTCCAGAGTCATCCTTGATGATGCTGATGATGAACACGGTTTCCTGAGGAATCTGTGCTATGAGCTGCGTGACAAATTGGTGCATGCCAGGATGACCTCCTGCGAACTTCAGATAGGCAGGGAGAACACCCTAAAACCTTTTAATTGACTAGTGTAATGAATACTATTTAAGACCAGAGTACTAGGACCGCTCTTTTGTTACGTGTTTATCCTTGAGATGAGCAGGGGGGTTCTCCCCTCTTCAAAGCACAACATGGAGTAACGCTCTGGATTTGTGATCTAGAGCCCTTTCTGTCCCATCCTCCAACAAACCACAGTTTTTAAAAAACTGGATTCTGTGAAACCACCTATAATCTCAGTTTGGGGTTCAGCATAAAATCACTATGGTTTGGCCCCGCAGTACCTTTTATTTTTTGCTGAGCTCTAGGACTGGGTGAGCCAGTAGGATGACGGTCATGCCCTGACAGAGTAGAGTGAGGAAATTTGTACCACGAGTCTCCTGGGACTTTTCTTTCAAATCCAGCAGCTAAAAATAAGCAAGGGGGAAATCAGGAGAAGGGTGTGGCTCATGAATTATACTGTAATTATACTGAGTTATTAAAAACGTATTTTTCTTTCTGCTTCACAGTTCAGGCCCTCCTGAAACCATCATTACTAATGGAGTACTAGTGGTGAGTGTTATGTTTTGTCATTTTTCTTGTCCTGTTGTCACACTTGTTTCCTTTGACTCACAGTCATCAGGCCACTATACCCTTTGACTGAGCAAAGCCAGCACTGAAATGCTGTGATTTCCCACTTCATCATCTGCCCCACAACACATCCTCATGGATGGAACCTGTGGAGAGGCTGCAGCTGGAAGAGCAGGAAGATCCCCATGCTAGCATCTCTCTGGTGCTGCAAGACAACAGATGGAAGAGGTTTAGGTCTGAGACATTGGTGGAGCAGTGAACTCTCCCTTGGACACCACTCCTCTCAAATTCCTGTATTGCCAAAGCGACAAGATTTGTCCCATCCCAGGCACACATAATTTCCAGCATTCATAACTGTTTTATACACATGGACTGCCTGACCATGCCATTTGCTCATTTATTAGCTCTGTTTCCTCAGTATTTTTGGTCTAAATTGGTTCTTTGCATCCCTGGCGGGATCCTGTGAGTGCTCTTTTTCACTCTGCCTTTACCTTCTCCCTTCTGCAAGCCCTTGTTCCTCCACAGCGCCACTGTCATGACTGTTTCTGGTTTCCCAGAGAGTCTTCCTGTTCTGGCCAGCATCTGAAATTGAGGCCGTGGTTGAAAGAAAATGTTTTTCTTGGGACAAAGTGCACTGCCTGTATAGCATTCGTATCATCAACAGTAGAAGCTTAGACTAGGAAACAGAATATCAGACTGGAAATTTTCCTGCTCTAAGATATTGTATTGCTCATGTCTCTTACAGTCTCGCAAAATCTGCTGCTTGGAAGTCCGGGTGGTTGAAAAGAAGAAGAATAAAAAGGAGAAAAAATCTGTATCAAGTGAGGTTATTTCTCCATCAGCTGTTTTTAAATCATAACATGCTAATATTATGAAGGCAATTGGCTTAATTGGCTTAATGTAAGATTGAAAAATTCACTCCCAAATACGAGAATAGCCTTGTGATAGATTCTGTAAGAACCGTTGTTTCCAACATTGATGAGAAAACTGCTCTGTGTCTGCTTTTGTGTCCCTTCTTAGAGAAAGAATTCTCCTTTAAAGTGCAAGGCTCTTACGAAGGCACCCAAGACATTATGCTGGGATCTGATCTGGTCTTCAGCTCCTCCTCTCCTGCCAAATTCCACTATGCCAGATACAAGCATCCAACGCTTGATGTTACCCTACCAGGGAAGAAACCAGCTCCCTCCTTTGTATGTTATAACTGGACTTTATAAAACATAATAGTGGCATGTAAAGTATCGCGCACCATAAAAAATAACATTCGTTTGCATTGTGGAAAGAGAGTAACATTCCATACAATGTATATTCAGATATATTTGTGTTTTCTCAGCTCTCCCGTGTGTATAATACAAACTCAGGCTCTCCAAACGTGGAACTTCATTCCCTTCCAAATGGAAAAAGCATGACTTTAGCAGAGGTGAGTGCCTGCTCTTTCATGGGAGAGGTTGAGGAACCTGAGTGTGGAATTCTGCATCCTTCTGATGGTTACCAGGGTTCTTTCTGATGATGAAAGCCTGCAGACAAAAATGCCACAATCTAACAGTGGTGGGTCTTTAGGTGGTAAGGCCAGGTTGTGCCTTGTTCTGTTTGAATGGGTATGGGAATATGGAGGATCTTTGTTACGCCATCCTGATTTTATATCATGCTAAATTTTGAGGCTCTGCTTTTCCCTTTCTTACACACCAGTGGGGCATCTGAACTAACTGAGGTAGTGCTGATGCTGACCATGCTTTGCAAAACACTTGAAAACACTGTGAAATACTGAACAATTTCCCCGACAATAGATCACTGCAGTCAACTTGTATATGCTGCTGGTTTATTCAGGGTTCCCAATCTGTACTTGCATCGCTAGGATGGCACAAGTTAAAATTCCTCCTGGGGCTGCAGGGAAGGAGCTCTAAAGCAGGTGATCATGCTTACACTGTTTGCATTCTTGCTTTCCAGGGTAAAGGATTTGATTTATATGCCAAGGCAGAAGACTGGTAAGAGACTTGGCCACTCTCAGAGGCTAACTTGTCCTTAGCTGAATTCGTCTCACTCTTTGCTCTTTGCTGGGGATGAGAACTCACAGTAGGACAGTAGGTTGTGCGACCAATTGATGGAGAACTCACATGGGCTGAGAGCAAACTGCAGTGTAAAATTAACAACACATGTAGATAATCCATAGTAAGACATGAGTAATAAAAAAGACGCATAAAATAGAAGAAATAATATTAGTAGCCCGTTAGCTTTGCACAGCTATGTCAGTTTTATGCTCAGTGCAGTCTTTAACCTTTTCTTTAACACTGAGTAAGAGTGCAGATGATCACTTGGTACTTCTGATCATGAAGCAGGTTAATGTAGCTGCCTACTTCAAGACAAATGTGAGAAATTTTTCCTACAGCTCTCCGTGCAGGCTGAAGTATGAGAGAATCCAGACAGCAGATGTCTCAGAAATTATCTGCAGGAA